TCCCCCCCCCCCCCCCCTTCCCCCAGACACTCACTCCCCCTACCCTTCTAGAATCAGTGATCTAGAGGGAGAAATAGCCTGATGCTGGGTCCTGAGCCTGTACAGAATTTCTGAGAAACCTCCAGTTTCCTCCCACTTCCACTCACACCCTGCCCCTCCCAATCCCCGCCTTGTCTGGGATGTGCCAGCAGGGCTCTGCTGGCTCCAGCAGCCCCCTAGTGGCAGCCAACGTCTTGCAGCCCATTTCAGGGGAGGGGAAGAAATTCTTCACACACAACATTAATTTCTGCAAAATTCTACATTGTGCAGTGACACAGAATTCCTCCAGGACTAAATGGAATAATGTCAGTGTTAGTCTTGGGGAGGGGGAGGGGAGGGTAGCCATGTTAGTCTGTAACTAAACAAAATTTAGTTACAGAGCTTAAAATAAAAAGCAGAAAAAGAGGGGAAGGGGGAGAAAACCCTGTCAGTTAAAGTATCCAGGCTAAATGAGGCTAATGGAGTAGGTTGTAAGTGTCTCATACTTAGCTTTTGATGCCATTTAGGTGTTGAATATAACAGTCCATCCAGTTCAGTCTTTGTTCAACCCTGAGAGAGTGTCAAATTGGCATACGAAGGCCAGTTTACCAGATTCTCTATCTAGTTTAATTTTCTGCTTTTGATTGTAAGCTCTGTGCCTCTTACTCCATATTTGTCATCTGAAGAAGTGGGCTGTGCCAACAAAAACTCATGATACTATCTATCTATATTTTTGATTAGTTTCTAAGGTGCTACGAGACCATTGTTGTTTTTTAAGGTGTGGGATTTTTTTTCTAGTGTTATGTTGTTATCCATATCTTCTATCAGCTTTCTACAGATTTTTCTACTTCTCCAGATAGTTCTAAACTAAGCATGCATAAAGTGCAACCCATGGAGACCTGCCCTTTTGTTACTCCCACTTCAGAGAGCAGACAAAACTGGTGAATTCAGGCACTACCTGTTCTATGAAGGATACAAACATATATTTTGGTTGCATTACACTTAAGATTCAGTTAAAAGTTTTAAATCCATCCCTTTGCCACCTTGCACATTGCCCTCTTCTACAACTAAACAGAGGAACTTTGCTCATATGTGACCCTGCTGTAGACTGCTAGTTGAAGCAGCTGCCCTTCTGTTACCAAATCAATTTAAATCCTGAATCTGTTCAGGTGTGCCAACATTTCTGCAATAAATCCATGGTGGTTTATGGCCTTATTCCTCAATAACTTTTAATGCTGTTTCTTTTAAAAAATCTGCAATGTTGAAAGATAGAACTCCTATAACAAGTTATTCTAGGAGTATTCAGTATATTGAAGGGGTCTGTTGTGTGGTTTCAAACCCACAAAGTACACCTGTTTGTTCTTGTTGTAGTACTTATGGGTATGTCTACACTACCCCGCTAGTTCGAACTAGGGGGGTAATGTAGGCATACCGCACTTGCAAATGAAGCCCGGGATTTGAATTTCCCGGGCTTCATTTGCATAAGCGGGGAGCCGCCATTTTTAAAACATTGAAGGGGTCTGTTGTGTGGTTTCAAACCCACAAAGTACACCTGTTTGTTCTTGTTGTAGTACTTATGGGTATGTCTACACTACCCCGCTAGTTCGAACTAGGGGGGTAATGTAGGCATACCGCACTTGCAAATGAAGCCCGGGATTTGAATTTCCCGGGCTTCATTTGCATAAGCGGGGAGCCGCCATTTTTAAAACCCCGCTGGTTCGAACCCCGTGCAGCGCGGCTACACGGGGCACGAACTAGGTAGTTCGAACTAGGCTTCCTAGTTCGAACTACCGTTACTCCTCATGAGGAAGCCTAGTTCGAACTACCTAGTTCGTGCCCCGTGTAGCCGCACTGCACGGGGTTCGAACCAGCGGGGTTTTAAAAATGGCGGGTCCCCCCTTTTGCAAAAGAAAGCCGGGGAAATT